CTGGGAGAATGATCTGCTGCTACAGTGAACACGTGTAATAAATAAACAAGATGGCCGGTTGTCAAGGGGCAGAGATTACACTGTTGGAAATGCAATTGGGTTTCGGAGAGCTTCATATTTATACTCTTTGCAGTAAGGAGAAACAGTATTTACAGTTCAGCCTTGAAGGTCAGTATTTTTTTAATGTAATTGAGAATTTAAGAGTAATTACTGCTAACTGTCATAACAGAAGAAGAAAATATATCAACAATTTAAGCTTGTATTAAATGATATAATTGTATGTCTCATTTAATATGATACAGAACTGTTTAGCTAACTGTTTAGCTAATGAAATCCACTACCATTGTAGCTAAATTTAAAAGTGAAATATTTACATAGATAATGATGAGTTGTATCCATTTACACATTGTCATTTTAAAAATGAGGTTATAACTAATGTAGAAAATGTGAAGGGGTTTTAAAATTTAGCAAGCATTTAACTATGAGCATTTTAAGTCATAATAAGTAACAAAAATACATATTGTTTAAAGTTATTAAATCACGTCACTTTGATCAAATGTTTAAACCCAGGACAAGTTCCAATTAACCGGTTCTTTTTGCCTATTTTGGGGATTACATCTCTTTAACTCAGTTTTTTCTTTGTTTGCAGTATGGATATATTTCTAATTCAGGTCCAGATTTCAGAGTCAAAGGGACATAGCGATCCAAAGAGCTTAATATGAAAGAAAAACAAAACAAAAAATAAGCAACAAATAAATTTTCCACCTGTCGTATAAAGAGCCTGATATAATGAGAAGTCAAAGTGCTGCTAACTTATCCAACTAAGAACTTTGGAAGGTTTTTTTTTAATTAAAAAGTTTTTCTTACCATATCCTTTATACAATTAGCCCTAGAAATGTGAGTCATTTTTAGGTAGCTGCTCATTTGCAAAGCATTTTAGCTCTTGACACATAGTCAATCCCTCTTACACAACTCCTGTTGTGGTACTTGGCAACCTCAATACCCACACTGACAAATTCTGACCTTTTTTTATTTGTCTGTTTCCATCTAGTAACCATCTGCCACATTTGCACACACACTTGTGTGAAGATTATCAGCTGTAATTAATGTAGGAATTCTTTCTATGATGGTCAGTTTTAAGAATTTTACCTGCTGGTCACCCTTGTGTGTTTGGAATTTGGGGAACGTCAATTCTTTGGTTAGTGTGAATCTTTTGACCAAGAAAAAAAGCATACTGGTACTCTGCCCCATTTCTCTGCAGAGTCTCTCGTTCTTTCATTCTTAGTTGAGGCACTTTGCTCCATCATTATAAGTGCTCTTCTGCCTCCTTACAGCTTCAGTTTTATTTCTCTTGCCTCTTTTTTTGTGATTTGTCTCAGAAAAGTTTTGAGCCTAGTAAAATCCAATGCTCCTTATTCCAAATCCCTATAAGGGATTTTAGGACACCTTACCCTAAAATATGGCATCTTGGCTTTTGGGGAGCTAATAAGAACATCAAGATTTCTCTGATGTTTTCCCATATTTTTTTTTTTTTTGTTCTGAAGAAAGATATTAAAAAATCTTCTAACCTTCCTTTGAAATGGGTCATAAGACCTTTAGGTTTGAGCTGCCCTCCCTGTAACTGTATGCAAGGAACACATTTATTCTCAGAAGCTTAGAAAACAGTCTGAATAAAGAGGCTTTGCTAAGTTCCTTCCAGACTGTCAGGTTTTTTTGTTTGTTTGTTTGTTTTTTGTAATCTCTTGTTCTCCAATTACACTTCTGCCTGTATACTCTCCAACAAACTTAGCATAAGAATAATGACATTTTCCTATTTCTTTGGGTCTTCATTTTTAAAGGATTCTCTGTCATTTGAAACTTTTGTAAATTTGCATTCCTTACTCTTGTGAATCTGTTTTGTTAACATGAGCTCCCATTATCATTCTAGCAATGTTGAGGAAATATTTTTTTTTAACTTATCTGAAGGCTGGATGCCCCAGGATCCTAACACATGTTCATACCTGTTCTCTCTGCTACTCTCCTATGCAACAGTTTTATTGCTTTTTCCATCTAAATTCTTTTTTGATTTTCTAAGAGCTGAAACACCACACCACGTGTGCTTTGCCTGCTGGTATATTTTGATGCATGGATTGCTGGGTTGTTGCTATGGTCTCAATATTTGCTTTCCCTCAAGATTTACTTGCTGAAATCCTAACCATCAGGGTGACAGTTGTGGAGTCTCAACGGAATGGTTAAATCATGAGACCAGAGCCCTGAAAAATGAGATTAGAGCTCTTATAAGGAATCACAATCAGTTCCTTCACTATTTTTTTTTTTGTCAGAATCCAACTATCTATGAGCGAAACAGTAGATCATCACAAGTTACTAAATGGAGTGCAATCTTGATCTTGGACTTCTGAACCTCCAGAACCCTGAGCAGTGCATTTCTGCTCTTTATAAACCACTCAGCCTGTTCTCTAAGCAGCAGTGGGAGAGCACTAAGAGGTGTCCACAGCACCTGAAGCTGCCATCGGTGACACCAGCATTCCATGTGAGTGCTGTTTGCTTCCTCTGACGCAGCTCCCTGCTCCTCTGCAGCTGAGGCCACAGAGGACCGTGGGGGTTACTGGGCACCCAGCGCCAACGCGAGACTCTGATGGTGTCCCAGGCTTCTGGTTTCTACCAGGTCCAGCAGCGGCCACTGCTGCCATTTGGGGAGAGGGAACTGGTAAATGGGAGATGTGTCCCCCGCCCCACTATTCTATAGCTCTGCTTTTGAAAAAAAAGTAGAATAATCCTGGGGGGAAGAAAGACAGGTAAAAGTCTATGTGTGCTTTTTGATCTTAAGAAAATCAATTCAGCAATTCTTTTCTTTTTTTTTTTTTCTTTCAATCAAAATGTGCCTTACTAGTTCATTATCTTCAAAATAAATACATTCTAACCCTTTTTGAAAGAAAAAAATCATTTATTTTAAAAGCAGAACTACTGCGTTTAGGGAGTAAGGGAGATGAAGAGAGATTTTCATCAGCTGGTTCAACTCCCGAAAAAACCTTGATGACCAGAGCTGGGCAAGGAAAACGGAGCTTCTTTTAACCTCCCACTTGGGCGCAAGCGCTCAAGTGCTCAAGCCATCATTCTCCACTGTTTTCTCACATACATTAGCAAGCAACTAGACTGGAAGCAGAGCACGGGAGCTAGGACATGAAGTGGCACAGTATGTGCTGCTGACATCACAGGTTTCCGATGACACCTGCAGGTTTAACCAACTCTGCTGCAGTTTCTGTCCCCAAGATAACCCTGTCCGATCTCCCATCTCTACACCTGCTACACATAACCCCAGTAGTCACTTCCATTGCTCTTGTAAATCACTACTCTACTTTCACCACTTCCCTAAACTTGCTCTTACTGACATCATCAATAACTTTAAAAAAAAAAAAGATTTATTTATTTTTATTGCAAAGTCAAATATATACAGAGAGGAGAAGAGGCAAAGAGAAAGATCTTCCATCCGATGATTCACTCCCCAAGTGACCACAATGGGCAGTGTTGCGCCAATTCGAGGCCAGGAGCTCAGATCCTTTTCTGGGCTCCTACGTGAATGCAGAGTCCCAAGGTTCCAGGCCGTCCTCAACTGCTTTCCCGGGCCACAAGCAGGGAGCTGGATGGGAAGCGGGGCTGTCAGGATTAGAACCAGCACCCATATGGGATCCTGGCGCATTCAAGGTGAGGACTTTAGCTGCTAGGCCTTGGCACCAGGACCATATCAATGACTTCTAACCCGGCAATTCATTTAACATACGTGTTTCTCTTACACTATGCTAGTTTTTGGCAGTATACTATTAGAAGCTCCTTTCCGTGCATGCTAGTCATTCTTTCATAGATGAACAAGTGCTTACATTATATAAACCGTTGCCTCTTCTCTGTGTTCTCTGAAAATGTAATTATGCATATATCAACAATTTTGGAGAGTATTAGCATGCAAAACTAAAAAAAAATAGCATAGTGAAAGGAATAAAAAAATAATTTAAGAAAACCCTCACAGAGTGCATAATCACTATTCATAAAGCTGTTTAAGCATTGAATTGTATCTATTATTACTTTGTAATGTATCACATAGTTGGTTATCCATTTGCAAAGATCAAAATATTCTAGCAACAGCAGACTGAAAGCAGGGGACCAAGTGAGTGCTACAGGCAGCCATAGTGACAATGATGAGATGAGAACCGGTAGTAAGTAGCAAAGACTGTGCTCCTATACATAAAAGCCTGCACAATAGGAAGCAGTTTTGTTTGGAAGTAAATATCCCCAAGTAGTTCAGTGGCTCTGGAGACCCTGGTTTTTACTGACACAAGAGTCGCCAAGGGAGCAAAGTAAAAAAAAAAAAAAAAATTACTAGTGAAAGAAAAAAAAATTTAAATTTTTCATCTCCTGGAAATAACTATTCAGAAAGGTCCATTTTTCAAAAGATTACTGCTTAAGCACTATAGTTTAAATACTGCCTTTTGTATTGATAATGAGTTGTTCTACCAATGACTCATTAAAGAACTAAAAAGAAGACATATGACTCACGGAGGAGGCACTTGTAGTCTTTAATCATAATGCTTCCTTTTGTATTTGGTTAATGAAGACAAATCAGGAGCATGATTGAAATATTTGTATGTTAGATAAAAGAGAAATGAGATAATCATTAAGGTAGGGCCAGAATGGAGAAGAAAGAATACACTTGGAGATGAAAGGATTGGAGTAGATGTCATGGGAATAATTACCTGGTTTTCTCCTTGTCATTTTTAATCTAAAACCTGACCAACATCTCAGTCAAATTGCATATGACTTGTAACCAATAAAGATCCATCCAAAGAAGAACTGTCTGAGCCAGTCAATATCCCTCTGGTATTAACTGTCCAGGGCACAGCATCACCTCAGCTGGTAAGACAGTAGGTGAGTTCATCCATATATTCCTCTTGAAAATTAGTTGAACAATGTTTCATTTGCTAAAATATCATAATTCAAAGAAAAATTACCTTTAAGATTGTTTTGAACTTCTAAAGCTATATCAAGAGCACTAAAGGGCAGGACTGGCTCATTGGCAATTTGCAAAATCACTTCTCCTGAGAGCTGAAAGAAAAAAGAAAAAACAATTGCAAGAAGTCAGAAACTAAAAGTTCTGGTTTATTTGTTTTTTAATATTCCATACACTTCCAGATTCAGAATAGCGAAAGAGTGAAGGTATAATTGAATAAAAATTTATTTTGTTTTCAAACCCATTATCAATTTTTTTCCCATAGAAAGCCTACTATTGTGTTGATTCTCAGACTAACACCAAAAAATAGAATATTTTGTTCCATTTGCAGACTAACATAATTTCTTAATTAGAAGAGTTGTAATACTAAGATTCAAAAATAAGTCTTTTAACAAAAATTCCCGATATCATATGATTAAATGAGCATTACATAGGACAAATACAGACAAGTATGCTTCCATTGGACAAAGCGAAATTTCTTTGAAAACTAAAAAGTGGTTAATTTTATTACAATGCAATTAAGTCAAAAGATTCCTTTAGATTCTGTGCATTATTTGTATATGTAATGTATTATTTAATCAAAATTAAGCATTCCTTAAATATTATCTATTACTTTTTCAATGCTTTATTCATATTCATTTCCAGAATTTATCATAGCTAATGTCATTTATAAAACTTGTGGAAAAGCAATGAAGATTTAAGTTTATTTTGGTGAGAAAATTTTGAATTTTTTTCTCCTATATTTGGATTTCAAAATACATTGTCCAAAATACACATATTTAAAATACAAATTTAGATAAAGTGTTTGAAGCATCCTCACTATCTTCGAGATCAATACACAATTATTGCAGGAACAAAGGGTTTTAAATGACTCCCCACAATATACCTATGGTTTTTCTGCATGCATAGCTCCCTGCCACGCACTGTACTTGAAAACCAACATATTCGATACAGCTGACCTAGAATCATCTTAATAGAGTAAGATATATGCACCCATATACATCTCAAAAGATATTAGAGCTGTCAGCAACTGCCATTGCCCTCTCATTATCTCATGAGTAATACATAATATTTACCTGGCCTTAACAAATGTCCCCATGTCTTTTATTATCCAGGAGCTAGTACACAGGGAAATGTAACTGTATTGATGTTATTACTACATTACAAAATTTAATTAGTGAATGAAGTCATTTTCTTATGAAATCACACTGGAAAATTAGCACAGCTCCTTGAGACAATACAGAACACATATAAGATACAACTTGAACAAGAGGAATTAGTTCAATAAAGAGACCCATATATTGAACAAGAGCAAAATCCGTTACTATTCTAATTTTCCTCCCAATTGTTTGCACAATTCATATCATGCTAAAAATATAATTCAATCTGATCTTTTCATTAGAGTTGGGAAAATGTGTCTCGAACTAAAACAGAGGAGAAAGAACCTTCTGAAACCTGAAACCTGTTTATTCTTAGGTACTTTTCTCCCAAATAACCTCTTCTTTCCTGAAGTTTAAGGTATCTTTGCCATTTTATTCCAGCAAAAGGACCACAGAAGTCCCTGAAAATGGTCTCTTCTGTTGGTACTGTACTTTTGGAGGAGAGAATTGTCTGCAGCAAGTTGATATGAATCCTCTTTTTCAATTCCACTCCACTTGGGCCAAAGCTTGTAAGGGACACCAATATTTGGAAACGGATAATTTGTAAAATGAAATTTAAAGAAGATTAAGAAGCATTACGATTTCTTTTTCCAATTTACGCTAGATAATAGAATCTACGGAACAGACATGTTTTGCTTATACTCATTAAAAAAGAATAAAATGAAAAAAAATGGGGTGAGAGAAGGAAGGCGAATCTGTGTGCTTCTAGAGAAAAGTTGTTTTATGTTGTTTTTATAAGAGTCATTTGGCAGCTTAAACAGCTGGAATAGAAGCCAACTACCTCACTATTTCTTTCAAAAGGAACTTGGCAACTTGGATAGGACTTGCAAGGCACCAGCCCAGGACAGAGTGCTTAGGCTAAATCGGCTTTATTTAAAGCTTCATGGGCAATAGCGAGGTTTTCATGCTCCTTGCCACACAGCCGGAAGATTTGAGTCAGAACATACACTTTTGTGTCCATTCTAAAAGTCACTTTTGTTCAGGCATGGCAGAGCAACCTTCACTTACATTTACATGAAGCCTCACTCTTTCCAAAGCGTTTTGTACCTGCATATCTCATGTTATTACCTTGATGCATTAGAGGCCCAGGAACATTTAATATCTTGCTTTTACAGTACTGACAGCCCTGCACAACGGCTCCAATGGCTAAGCACTAGCATCACCTCTAAACCCTAGCATGCTATTCGGGAGAAGGATCATTTCCTGGCATCTCCACTTCCCATCCAGCTCCCTGCTTCTGGTCTGTGAAAGCAGTGGAGGATGACCTACAGCTTTGGGATTTTGCACCAGCATGGCAGACCAGGAAGAAGCTCCTGACTCATGGTTTTCAACTGGCTCACGTTTACCCATTGCGGCCTTGTGGAAAAGCGAACATAAACTTCAACTGCGCAGCAGTGAGTTTGTCATGAGTCCTAGATTAGGTTTCCCACAAAAATATATTCTGGGGGCCGGCACAATAGCGTAATGGTTAAGGTCCTCGCCTTGAACACACCAGGATCCCATATGGGTGCAGGTTCTAATCCTGATGGCCCTGCTTCCCATTCAGCTCCCTGGTTAGGGCCTGGGAAAGCAAGCAGTCAAGGATGGCCCAAAGCTTTGGGACCCTGCACCCGTGTGGGAGACCTGGAAAAAAATTCCTGGCTCCTGGCTTCGGATCGGCGCAGCACCGGTTGTTGCGCTCACTTGGGGAGTGAATCATCGGACAGAGGATCTTTCTCTCCCTCTCTCCTCCCCTGTACATCTGTCTTTCCAATTAAATAAATAAATCTTAAAAAATAAAATATATATTCTGAAGCCAAATTTGATTGCAAGTAACTCATTGAAAAGTGAGGGTGGTTGAGTGAGAAGAAAAGATATAAAAGGGCAGTCAGCTAATGGAATCTGCTTTATCAAGTTGGCTATAACACTGCGGATGCCTGGACATTAACATTGCTGTCTAAAACATATTAGGATGAACTTGGCATCTTAGAATTTTCCAACCCAAGGAACAGTGCAGCTGTTCAATACCCAGTAGGTATTGAATAAGAAAAATTCCACGAAAGTATAAAATCTTTATTGCTTCTGGCCTTCCTGGTGCACTGGTTAAATTAAATTACTGGAGAAGACTTCATGAAAACCTAAAGTTTAGTAATTAAAAATAATTCAAGGAAGCACCATAGTTTATGTAATTCTAGACCACAGAAACATACATGGCTTCTTTTTTCTTTCAATTTAAAATCCAATTCATTTTTTGATGCTGTAAGTGCCTATCTACTGATTTGATTTTGGTGGAGAAAATATATTAACCAATGCACTTGTAACTCATTAACAAATTAAGTCAATTTTATTGATAGTTTAATTTTTAAAGCAATGCAATCATGTTTGATGTTGTATCTTCTGGTAGTCATAGTGCTCCTAGGGAGAGGGCACAGTGTATTCTTTTTTTTTTAAAGATTTATTTTTATTATTTTTTTATTGGAAAGGCGGATATACAGAGAGGAGAGACAAAGAGGAAGATCTTCCATCCTATGATTCAGTCCCCAAGTGAGCACAACGGCCGATGTTATGCCGGTCCGAAGCCAGGAGCCTCTTCCGGGTCTCCCACGCGGGTGCAGGGTCCCAAAGCTTTGGGCTGTCCTCGACTGCTTTCCCAGGCCACAGGCAGGGAGCTGGAAGGGAAGCGGGGCTGCTAGGATAGAACCGGCGCCCATATGGGATCCTGGGCATACAAGTCGAGGACCTTAACCACCGTGCCACCGCGCTGGGCTCAAGGCACAGTGTATTCTTAAAACTTGGTACAGTTGTAAAAGAAAACTTTCAAGCCCTCTTATACATTGGATTATGTCTAGTTGTAATTTGTATGCGCTGGTTGAGAAAGTAAAAATTCAGTATCTCTGGGGCCATATTTAAACTAGCAGTTAACCAACTTTTGGGATACTGGATTGGATCTCAGTTCTGGTTTTGCTACCAATTCTAGCTTTCTCCCTTTGAAAGACAATAGATCAGGTAGTTGGCTCCCTGCCACCCGATGTGGGGTCGACTAGTTTTGCATTGATTCAAACCTGGCTGTTGCAGACACATGGATAGCAATCCGTTGGAGCTCTCTCTTTTCCCTGCCCCCTTTATCTTTGATTCTCAAATAAAAATGTTAAATAAATATTTTATTACATTTGAAAAATAACTAACTTAAGTGCCATGTTAATAGTATGTTATTGTGCTCTTGCCATGTGCAAAATATTACTCAAAGATGAATGAATCCATTGAATGCTTAGAATAGCCTGATTCTATTTGCAGAGGAGAAAGCAAGAGGCATTGCTCAGTTAATCACATATTCCAGGGCTGCCTCATTAATGAAAGGTAATTTTGAGATCTGTGCCTAAGCATTCAGCCGCAAAGTCAGGACTCTTTAATTGTTATACCAATTACAGCATTTCTTTATTTTCTATCCCCTTCTCTACTATTAGCACATAAGGAATATCAGTGGATTCTGAGCCCACATTTATCCAACTGGAACATATGATTTTAACAAATAATCAAGGGCTGATTACAGTTTTAAGAGCTGTTTAAAGTGAAGGCTTAAACAAGTGGTCCTCTTGGAGCTATAAATTCTGATACTTGCCAATGTTAGATTTCTTCGAAAAGTTTTAGAAAAATAATGTCAAAAGCAAGCACGACCACCTAACCAATGATTATCAGTGACCTCTCATTTTTCCGTACTACTGTTTAGAGATAATCCTGGTGTTAAGTAAAGCACTTCTGTGAGCTATAGGCTAGAGAAAAAGTCTTGTGCACAGGATTTTAAACTTCAACCGTGCGAGGAAGCAGAGACTGACTCTCATAAAATAGATTTTGTAAAGTAGCATGAAAAAGCGCAAGGGAACACTAACTCATCTAAGGGTGCTAGGAGAGGCTTGTTTGTGGAAATTCCTTCTGTGAACACCTTGTGCTAGTCTCTA